GACCGACCACGCCGACGACGACGACGACGACGACGACGACGACGACGACGTCGAAGACGACGGCGACGACGACGACGGCGACGACGAGCGAAAGCGAGAGCGAGAGAGAACGACAGCAGGGCCACGAAGGGCACGAAGTAGGCCACGAAGGGCGACAGCGGGGACACGAAGAGAATGCGTATGGGGCCACGAAGAGCGCGAACGAGCGGGGGCCACGAAGCGCAGATAATGCGGGGCCACAAAAGGCAACGATGGGGCCACTGAGGGTAGCAACTGCGCCACGTAGGACAGTGAGGGGGACACAAATGGCGTCGGCGGGGCCGCGAAGGGCATGCACATGGGGCCACAACGGGCGCAACTCCTGGGCCCCTGGGTGTCGGGAGCGCGGCGCTTGGGCAAATTGCAAGAAATTCCAACGCAAGGCCATTCTTCAGCAAGTTGCAAGCAAGTCTCCAGCGAGAGCGCGACTCCAGAGCGCCGGGAGAACGATTCCTGAATACATTGTCAGGAAGTCCCAAGCGAGAGCGCGATTCCTGAATAAAATGCGAGGAAGTCTCGGGCGGGAGCGGGGGTCCTGGCTAAATTGCAAGGAAGTCTCCGGCGGGAGCCGTTGTTGTTGTAACCCGGGGGCCAGGGGGCCAGTTTGAGCAGGAAGACTTTCTCTGTCAAAAAACCTGGTGCGAGCGTCGAGGGGCACATTTTGATTGAGAAAAAACTGTACGCACCGGTGGGGGGATCAACAATAATTATTATTCAGAAATGAGAATTCAACAACAACAACAACAACAACAACAACAACAACAACAACAACAACAACAACAACACCAACACCAACACCAACACCAACAACAACAACAACAACAACAACAACAACAACCACCACAACAACAACAACAACAACAACAACAACAACAACAACAACAACAACAACAACAACAACAACAACAACAACAACATCAACAACGACGACGACGACGACGACGACGCCGAGGACGACGACGACGACCACAACAACAACAGCCATTCTAAGATGGTTCGCTCTTACTTGCCCGTGTGTCACTCAAAACGAGTTCCCCACACCCTCGATACCCGCCCTTTTTGTCTTCGATCACACCCCCTTTGGAGGATTCTTTCTCTTTGCGGGGGGGGGGCGGGCTTGGACAGGCGGGCAAACCTGAACGGGCGGACAATCCTTCGTGGACGCACATGTGCCCGCCATTGGAATTGGTGTGGGCACTGAAAAAAGCGGGGGGGAGAACGAGGGACAGTGGGAGGAAGGGAGGGGGAGGGACGAAGGAAGAGGGAAAACGCCAGGAGAGAAGGAGCGAAGAGGGGGGCGGTTGATTAGAGGCAGAGAGAGAGAGAGAGAAACAAAAAAAAGAGGTAGAGAAAGAGAGAGAGAGAGAGAGGGGAGAGAGAGAGAGAGAGAACAGAGAGAAGAGAGCAGAGGTATTAAAGAAAGAGGAGGGAGGAGGCAGTGAGAGGGGTGGGGAAGGGGAGTGAGGGAGGGGAGGGGGAGGGGACAGAGGGGACAGGGCAGAGAGGGAATAAGGATGAAGAAAGAGAGAGGGAGAGAGAGGGAGGAGGAGCAGGAAGGTAAGAGCGTGAACGTTCGAGGAAGTCCTAGGCGAAAGCGCCGCTCCTGAAGGAAATCTCGGGCGGGAACCCACGACGGACGGGCGATCCCCTGACGGGCGGGTCGGGCGGGTGGGACATTCAAGCGGGATGCCTGAGTATGTATGGCGAGAGCGCGATTACTAAGTAAATTGTAACAGCGTCATTGGCGCAGCGTGCTTCCTGAGCGTCGAAAGCGCGATTTCTGAATAGTATGCATGGAATTCACCGGCGAAAGCGCAACTCCTGAATAAAATGTGAAGGGTTCTCTGGCGGGAGCGGGGGATTAAATTGCGAAGAAGTCTTGACTCAATTGCGAGGAAGTCTCAAGCGGGAGCGCCGTTCCTGAGCAACTTGTGACGAGGTCTGAAATGGGAGCGGGGGTCCTGACTAAATTGCAAGGAAATCACAAGCGGGAGCAGTAAATTGTGAGGAAGTCTCAGGAGCGGGGGGTCCCGTTGTTGTTGTACTCCGGGGGGGGCAGGGGCCCAGTTTGAGCAGGAATACTTTCCATGTCAAAAAAAAAAAAAAGTGCGAGCGTCGAGGGGCACACTTTGATTGAGAAAAGGCAGCATGCATCAGTGAGTGGGGTCCACCAATACTTACTCTTCAGACAAGAGAGTTCAACAACAACAACAACAACAACAACAACAACAACAACAACAACAACAACAACAACAACAACAACAATTACTAGCACGTGGGGACACTCCGTTCTCACCAGTGCCAGGGTTTTCATAGGAGGCGGGCAATACCCCCACTTTGTGGGGGGG